CTCTGTGCTTCATGAAGCTCTTGGTGAGAGGCTGCTTTTTTCTCTTTCTTCTTCAGGTTTGACTTCTAACTCACAATGTTCTGTCATTCTAGTCTTGTTCAGACAGTCCTGGTCTTTCTTCCCTCTCCCACTCTGTCTGCGCAGTGATTCTCTTCTAATCTTGGTCCTCTCCTTCCCCTAACTTTGACATTAGTTCCTCAGTTCCAGAACTGCAACACCTTATATCAACTGCCTTTAATCTATCTCTGTTTTGGCTTCCCATTGTAACACCTTGTCCTATTTTTGTCATATCCCTCTCCCAGTTTCCCCATTGTATTCAACCAGATCTCCTCTCCATTGACTCTCTCTCCACTTTGACACCTTCTGGCTCCACTTCCAGAGATCACCATGCCTACTTTAATTCAAGATAGTCCCAGAGGGATCCGATCATAGCACAGTATCATATGTTTGTTTATTCCACTTCTGAGTCCTCTCTAGGGAAAACTTAATGACTTGTAGCTTAATTGCTTCGCTCTCTGATTTGGTTCACTTGGTTGCCACCCCCTTACCAAAGACATCTACCTTTTCATTACTGGTGTTTGACACCTCTCATTTTTTATGCACAGTGTTTGCTCAAAAGAGCAACAACAGCTCTTTTAGTAATAGCTTGAATTCATCACGAATGACTCAGTTCTTAAGACTGGCACTACTTCCCTGAGAGGTTGTTCAGTGCTGAGAAGTGCTTAGCTGATGCTTAGTCACCTCAGCTATTTAATTGAAACAAAAAATATCTTGGGAATAAATCACAACCAGGTTGTGGATGTGCCTCAGGTGTATCACAAATTCCTATCAAACAAAAACTGATGCTTCCTGCCTCCCTCAAATAATATAATTTAGTCTTTCCTTGGAGTACTCATTAGGATGGTTGTGGTTTGTTTGGTTTTGTTGGGTTTTTTTAGTTTTAACAAATGCTGAATCCTGGCAGTGCTTCTTTTCATGTTTGAGAGAACAGATCCACCTTTTGGTGAAAGCTAAGCCTCTGAGACCAGCCTAACCTTAGTAAGTGAGAGGTAGAGGATTATAAGAACAAGTGAACTTTTGAGAAGAGGTCCAAGGCAATTTTGACAACTATAAAGCAATAAGGAAGATAAGTAAGTATGGAAGTATTTTAAAGGGAAAGGGTATCAAATAAACCAACAGGAGCAATACCAGTGACAGGAACTGGTGAACTCCGTGAGCATCCCTCCTATGTGTGCACCCTGTGTGGTGCAAGGAGAGAAACAGAATCGCCTCTCCTGTTGCCTGGCTCTGATTCCCCTGCCTTGGGGGCCTTGCTTTTGGGCAGCTCTATTTTCTGCACCCATGATGGTTCCAGCAGTGGGGCTGGGCATACGACTAGGAACTGTCTCATTTCTGTCAGGGCTGTGACACAGCCATGGTGTAATGGAGATACCAGACTTGGTGAGAAGGGAATACAGTACTGTTTTGTTCTTGATCCATGGGTAGTTTGGTAATTGTTGTGGGCACGAGTATTTCTGAGCATCTTTAGACATTTCTCTTGGAAGATTTACCAGTTTGACTGCCACTTATGCTAACTGAAAGGAGAATTTAACCTCATTACTTCCTGACTTTAACATCATTACTTCATTACCTGATCCAGTGAGCTGCTACTCATAATTACTGAGATGAAAATAACAATGGCACATGTTTATATATAACTGAGGATTAAGTGGACAACACCTGCTCCTGACCTGTGTGCTGTGCCATGTTGAGGGCAGCAGTACAGGGTTAAATGGTCTCCTCTGTCCCACAACAAGCTAATCTACAAGACTACAGCCCTTACAACTACATATTGCTTACAAATGCCAGCTGGATAATATTCAGGTTAATTTATGTCACTGCCTTGCCTATACTTCCAGTGCTTTGTGTTCATCTGCAGAGGCAGTGGTACCCAGCCAGTAAATGTCTGCATCTCTTTTGGAAATGTCTCAGAGGTGATTCAGGAATACAAGAACAATATTCAGACAGATTAAAATGTTTAGGATTCTGTTGAAGTGAAAAACATGGCACCAGCAATGTCATTTGGAAAGAACAGCTCCCAGCCAAATACAACCCAGCTAGGGTCTAAGTGGAATTTTTGCACATGACGATGCTGTATGTAATTTTGCAAGCTTTATAGTTGTTAAAGTTTTATCTGTGCATTGACATTAGCCATTTTCCTAATATTTTCAATCTGAAAAAGATGAGGAAAAGGGGAAGGGAGGGAATCGAGAAAAAATAACGTATTGTTCCTGATGTTTCTAGAGCAATTTCTCAAGCCCCCATGAGACTGCTTGGTATCAGCTCTGCTCTGAATGAAACCTTGGCCATTCCTTAGTCCCTGCCTCAAATATTACCTGATGAGTGGCTCCACCTCTGCCACTGGTTTGAATTGGGTGTGACACCTGCATCTCTCTGGGTTGCCTTCTTGCCAGTTTGCATCTGTATGTGGGCAGCTTGATTAAAAATTAAATTAGAAATAGTAGCTCAGTGAATCTGAGAGGAATCTTCAATACCCACATGGTTCCTTCCAAATACATACCCAATTGTCTTAATCCTTTGTCCTTGATAGCAGTAATAGTATCCAGAATACCTACATAAGGATATATTCTTTCCTCCTCCTGTTCTCTCTGTTTGATACTTTTAGTTTAATTAAATAGATTCTTTTAAAGCAGTTTCCCAATATATGTGATAACTGGATTCCTACTTGTCAAGCAAGATTTCCTGCGGTGAGGTCTGAACGTTGTCATATAGGCTAGTACCTGAAGTTATATTTTATTAACTACATGAGTTAATAAAAATTTAAAAAAAAAAAAAAAGGAAGTTTCTCTTTATTCTAGCTCTGTGTTCCATGCAAACTGTAGCTAAAAATCTCCAGGGGGGAGAGGAAAATTCTGATTTGAATAATTGGTGAGAACTGTGTGTTTTAGCTATTATGATATCCTCAGCTTTTGCTGTCTTCTCAGTGAGTAAATGAGTTAGCTGCTGAGCTGTTAAAAGTCCTGTAGAGAAAATTACAACGTGAAAATTCAATCTGGACTTGCAGTTTTTCAGTCCCAGAAGTTCATCCAGCTTTTTTGCTGCCAAAATAAAACCACTGCTGTGCCCAGGTGCAACAACTGGGTTGCTTGCTCAGCTGCATTGACACCTCAAGTAATTCTCTTGAATTTGCAGAAGTTTGTTTGGGTCATAGTTGTGAATTAAACCCCAGAATGGGCAGCAAAGCCCCTCGTGAAGGTGCTGAAGGACTCTGTAGCTTGTTCCACTTCTTGGGGAGTGCTGTGAAGTAAAAGGGACATATGTACGCGTGGGAGAGGCGTGTGTTCTCGCTGTGTGAGCAGAAATGTGCACCTGGCTGCCTGATGAATGAGCTGTGGAGATGGAAAACATGGTGGCAGATAAACTGTGCTGGCACTGTGCTTCTCATCCATGGACTGCGTGTCCCTGGTGCCTCCTCAGGGAGGAGTGCTGAGAAGCCACCTGGAAATGAGAAGTGCTCGAGCTTCTAGGGAACATAAGCTCTTCAGTTTTCATTTCCCAAGTCACATTTGGAAGTTGGGATGGCTTCACACTCCTAAAACTATTTTATCTATCAAAAAACAAATCAGGATTTATTTTTCTTCCTGTGTATCTGTAGGTGTTAGGGTAAGCAATTCAGGCCTGCATTCTTGAGGGTCTCCACTGCTTTTAATCTCCCTATGTTTTGCTTCCACCTGGAGCAATGGATGATTGTTTTTTGGGATCTACCAAATGGCAGGTGACAGCACTATAAAGTGTGGCCAAGGTCCCAGCTCTTAATGTTGCATAATCTTTTGTCACAGCTGCGCTGATTTCATTTATTTTGTTACTGGTGTTAAAACAGCAATGTGATTTGTATGTTAAAATATTGGCATTCCTTTATTATTTTTTTTATGACTCTGCAGGCAAAGGTTGGTATTTTCCCTGAGCCTCAGTAGCAGCTGCAAAGCAAGGTGTGTTAAGGGAAAAACTTATGAAGTTTTATGAAGATTATGAGAAGTGCCTTCAGGTATATTATGGAGCAGCTGAAAATTTCCATGGCATTATCCAGTTAAAACTGCAAGATGTGAATGCTGCTTTTATTTAAATAGGCATTTTCCAGATCCCACAACCATACCTGTTACATACAGCACATACCTGCTGTGTCTTGGCTGTATGTATAGGTGCATATCAACCCAGTTCACATCCTAATTTACTGTGGAAGAAAACTCCTGCCTGCAGGATGTGCTCCAGACACAAGCAGACAAGAAGGTGGGTTGTTAAGGGAATGATTGAACAAAAGCTGATTCCACTTCTGTGCCTCGATACAATTATCAAAATGATTTCCCTCACTTATTTATCTGAATGTCAGTGCATGTGGCAAAAAGCAGCACTGTGAGTCCAAAACCATGGTCTTGCTTGTGTTCCTCACCTAATCCACATCTGTGGAAGTACACTAAGATGGGGTCTCATGGTAATATGCTGTTTCTGAAAAATGTTGTAATGTAGTGACTACCAGAAGAGTTAATCTGTGTAGATCTTCGTCCTTGCCCTAACCAAGGCCAGAACAAATTGACTCAGGGAAATCTGTCAGTGAGCAATTGTGCAATCTCATTTTCCTAAGGAGGTTACTGTGTCTGCACATGAGTGTTTGGTGTGTCTGAACAGAGAGGGTTTCTCTGTCCCTACTTCTCCTCCTAATGTAGCTAAAGGATGTCAATCAGGTGCTCTAAGGTCTGTCTGTCACGGCTGCTGCTCAGCAGAGGTTGGGGTTTTAACTTTTTTAAGTTGCAGGAACCGAACTCTCAATTTCACTCTGGCAAAGGGGAAGACTGGAGGCAGGAAGTGTCCTGTCATGCCAACCAACCTGGGATGAACCACTCGCCAGCCTTGTGCCTGTGAGCTGCAACTGATCATGCAGCTTCTCCCTGGAAGTTCTGCTAATCTAAAATAATTCTCTTTTTTTTTTTTTTTTTTTTTTTTAGCTGAAACAAAGATCTGCTTCAAATACTACCATGGTGTGAGCGGGGCACTACGAGCCACAACTCCGAGTGTCACAGTGAAAAACAACGCGGCTCCCGTAAGTTATGCTGACCTCTTATTTTTTTTTTTCCATGTATGTTTCCTGTATTATGCCTTGCTTCCCCTGCCTGCTTTTATATGAAAACTGAACTCTTCATTGCACTGTGATACAGAGAAATAGGTAGTCATTTATTTAAGGTATGGGTTTGTCAGCCAAGAGATTGTAGACTCAGCTCTCAATCTGTCACAGATAACCTCTCTGATCTGGGGCAAGTCCCACATCCTAGCTGTATTCCATTCTGTAGAGTTACCTTCTCTCTGCTGGGTGTTGCAAGGCTTGGGTGATACTTCTACAGGATTTGAGGTCCTTGGGTTTTGAATGTAGTAAGAGTTCAGAAAAGGAGTAAGATTTTCCTATTTTAAGGTGCTTTTTTTTTTTTTCCAAAATCAAGGTAGGAACATTTTCATGGCTGTGCCTCTCAGTTCCAGGAACAGCTACATTCTGCCACGCTCCCATCAGTGGTAAGAAGTGGACGTTCAGGCCCTGATCCATCAAAGGACTGAACATCATTTTGTACAGACTGAGGCTTCATTAAGAGCAATTTTGATTTGCTAGAGCTTAGCAAAGCTCTGTGGCTCAAATGGCTCTAAAAAGCAATATATCTTGCCTGGTTTTGGAAAATTTGGTCACCATGAGAGTAAAAAGTTTTTCAGAAGCCTGCAGAGAGACTTGCTGACCTCCAAAGCTTGTCTGGCCCTGCTGACAGTGTTTCACTGCCTGCCAGGCTTGTCTTGGCAGAGACCTGCATGAGCTGAGAGTTTTTAGTCCAACCGGCATTAAAAAAGGACTAGCTCAGATGTTGTTTAGTCTGGAAATGGGTTCAGGAAAGAACTCTTACCTGTGAGTGTATGGAGGTTTCAGTGGATATCACTGAAGCTTAAATTTTGAAAGTTCATCCTTTCTTTGAATGGTCCCAAGTGAGTGTTTCTAGAAAGGCTGAAAGTCTCCCATGCTGTGTGTTGGCTGTGTCTGAGTGCACCAGGGCCAGGAAAGATTAATTTTTTTCATCTTTGAGTGATGTAGAAACTTTTGGTGATTTCTCTTTGCCTTCTTTTGATGTGTACAACAGCTGGAAACTGGATGCTAGGTAGGGGCTGATGGCCTGTGCTTTAGGAATGAAAGGTATTTGGTCTTGATGTGCCTTTCTCACATGCTGATGGTGAAGCTGTTCACCAGTTTCAGAGCCTGGAGAGTTGTCTTCAGAGAAACATAATGATGTGGCCTTGAATATCTTCATTGTGTGGGATGCTGAAAAGTTCTTTTTAGCCTGTAGTGAGTGGTGTCTTGTTGACTTAGGACCTGTTCATTTCTTGGTTATCATCAAGATAACCATCAATTTTGGAGGACAACCTATGTCATTGATTTAATCCTAGTCTTCTCTGAAAGGTAAACCAGCCAACCAAGGCAGTAAGTACCAGTAGGATAAAAAATAAGAATAATTTTTTGCACAATTCACATCTGTTTGTTAGAGTTTGAACCAATTAAGCAAATCTTTTAGGTCTAGTGTGCAAGGGTTACTTTGTCATTATCAAGTACCAACAATATGTTTTAAGTTAATGGAAGAATATCTGAGGACCTGGGCCTTTGTAATATGCAAATGTGTAGTATCTCCAAGTTCTTCAGTTGAGGGTGTTATATATATATATATGTAAGGAAATAAAGCAACCATTCACTTTCAGCTGAGCAGGACTTGTTTTTATAAAAGGAAGTCCTCTTTGTGCAGTACTCATGGTCTTTGTAGAGTCCAGATGAGGAAAAGAACCACCTATTATGACCTACAACTGAGTCTACTGTATGTGACTGAAAAATAAAATATGATTAAAAGTGATCTCGGAGAACAATTTTCCATTTGAGGGCCAACCCAGTGTCCTTGGAAACAGCATTCTCTTCACACCATCTTCTAATTTTTCCTGCCTTTCTGGGTTGCAGAATAGCCTGTGTGGGTTTTGCCCATTTCCTTTGCAGACCAGAGAGGCCAGCAGTGTTTTAGGTACAGCAGCATCATTTTCTCGTTTCCTTTGTTTGCTGTGTGACATAAATATTTGGTGCATTGGTAGATGAACAGTAAGCAGTGAAGACAACAAAAACAAAGAGATAGCAACAAAGGTTGTGCAATATGAACCCAGATGTACCCCCTGTGTGAGTGCAAGAGGAGAGCAACACTATAGAAATGAAAAACAGAGAAATAATGGGCTGATTCTTGCCCATGTGAAGGTTTTCAGCTCAGTATGATCCTCCAAGCTCCAGTCCCAGCTGAAACCATCAAGTGGCTTTCTATATCTGCTGCTCTGCAGTAGGTGTCCAACCTTTACCATGAAGCTGTTGAATGTTTCACAGCATCCTGTGCCATTGGAAGGTGGTGTTACCCTCACTGCACAGGTGGGGAAGGGGATCACAAAGGATTTGCCCAGTCCTGGGCTCTTGTGTATCTCTGCAGTGGCTGCTGCTGAGCAGAGGTAACAGCCATGCAAAGTGCAAGCACTACCCTTAGAACTTCGAACACACAAACTGCAATCACCTTTTGAGTGAGATTTTGCTAATAGTACATTCCAGATGCCCCTCTTCTTTTTTTTTTTTTTTTTATTTATTTTTTAGTGGAAGGAAAGAGGGATAAAATATTCAAGAAATCCCAAAATAAACTGCTATATCTATTTTAAAACCTATTTTTTCTAAATAATGGCTTGGAACAATGATCAGAAATGTCTTGTTCAAAAGAAGTAGCAGCTCTTCTGGTGTGTACTTTGCTGTGCTTGTCCATCATCACCCAGAGAGTATTTACTTGAAAACAAAGCAAGCACACAGCTGCTTTATCCCTGTTGCCGAGTCTCTCCCCATCCCTTTCAGTGGCTCCACAGTGTACAGAATGGGCAGCCCCATCTCTTTTTTTCCCTGTGCCCCGAATCATAACCTGAGCATGACTGAGCAGGGAAGTGATGAATTGTTTTCTTTTCCCCTGTTCCTCTGTGTGATCAGCTAAGGGCTGTGACAGTCTGGTGCCGAGCCTGTAGCTCATCTGAGGGCGCTGAGACGCCTGACCCTAGTGAGACGTGACACACGGGGCCCTCCGTGATCGAATCGGATGCATCAAATTCCTCATTGCTCCAGTGATTCGGAGCACTGCCCCAGGTCCCAGGCATGGCATTTCTCACCATACCAGCCAAAGCCATGCTCTTCTGGCTGCTGTGGCCTGGCTGCAGAGAGGCCCTCTGCTCAGACGGAACCTTCTTCAGATCCTGGGGCAGGTTCTTGCCCATCCTTTTGCTGGAAGAGAGGAACCTGTGGTCTGTGCTTGGCAATTTACCCTCTTCTGCAGTTAGTAGGAGTTCTAGCAGTGGCTGTGGGACCTTAGTGTGTTAGAAATAATAGCTTTGCATGGGAAAAAAATCTCAGTAGGGATCTTGCTGAAGTTTTTTTGAAAAGCTGGTTTCCTTGGACCAAAGGGAGTTTTGCTATTGTAGTGACAGTGTCACAAATTCACCCTAAAGCTTAGGCTGTCAGGAGGGGGGACAGGGGGAATGAACAAGGCTTTGCATATTTGACACAAGCAAACCCTTTTGTTTGGCACAGCTTGGGAAAATGATCCAGAGCAGGTGTCCTCTGAGAGGCAGCATTTGGGGACAGGTGACCTTGTGGGGACAGTGTTTTCACTGCTAGCACAGACTCATCTGCAGCTGATGCCAGAGCCACCCAAGTGGGTTCTGTCCGAGCCTCCGGGCGTGTGGCACATCCCGTGGTGGGGACAGCAGCTGGTGTATTGGCTGCTCGGTGTGTGTCCCATCCTGTCTGTCAATGAGACCTGCAAACACCGATAACCAGCAGTAATTTAAAAAACCAACAATGACAAACCCTTTCATTGTCTGTCTGAGTGCAGTTCACTGCAAGTGAAAAGGGAAAAGAAGCTGGTGGAAGTCACGCTGGGGGCTGTAAGCGGCTGCCATTCTTGTTCACGCGCTGCTGAGACCGTCTTTAACTGGCAGTTAAAAGGAATCCTGCTTCCAAAGGGGAAAAAAAAAAAAGTTGTTGTGTTAGTTGGATATCTTTGTGTAGCACCAATGGTGCTTTAGGCTGAGCAGCATCTCGAATTTCTTGTATTATGGATGTTCTGCTCCATTTGAGTTTATCTCCTTACGCTGTAACCCAGTTACTAGAGGTGCCTCGCCTGCTGATTAGAATGCCCTGCAGTTCCTTGGTCGGTGAAAAGTCCTGTCACATTTTATTGCCTGTGAATCATCAAGCTTGAATATCTGGGAATGCTGGGGTGTGCACTTTGGCCAATTCATAAATGGCAGAAGCGTGAATGTGAATTTAGGGCAGTGGATAGGCCTGGGGGTGGTGGCAGTAAAACGGAGCACCTGCAGTTCTGGAAAACGGGAACATCCTGGCTGGGGTGTTTTTCTGGACTAGTGGCATCCTGAAAGCGGTGCTGCTTGTGCTCAGTAGTTTATTCTACTAAATCACAAACATTGCCACGGTATGGATGAGCAAACAGTTTTCTCACTAGAAAAGAACATTTTTACAACATCTGGAACATTCCTCTATTTGTTACTCTTCATTTATTCATAATGTCACCACTAAATCATCTTTACATCAGACATTGTTGTAGGAAAAGCAATACCAGTAACAGCAATTAATTCTAGCAATAAAGAAGTGGCATCGTGCTAGTGTGAAAATAATTTAACCTAAATGTGGCTCTTTTGCAGTAAAATAAAGCAGACATGAGAACAGCATACAGCTTGAAAAAGAAAAACCTTTCCCCCCTGAGAGTTTATATCCTAAAAAGATAAATTGGCTACATCACAATTAAAGGACAGTAAGTGGAGAATCAATGTTTTAGCCGCAGGACAAATGTCTTCACTAAATTGGGAGCATTCACTCGCTGTCTATTAGATGCAAGGAACCGCGGCTGATCAAACCTCTGGAGCTTTCGTGCCACAGTTTCTGTCTCATAGATCACCATGGCACTTGTCACATCCACTTAGCATCGTGGGGAAAGCTCT